CTGCACTCTTCCCTGAGACTCCCCCATTTTAGTTGATAGCCATTTCATTCATTCTGACGTGTTCTGGGGTCATCCTGTGTGATGCATCTGATTGACTGGAAAATCCTTTTGGAATGCATTTGGCCACTGCTTACCACCAACACCAGTCCAGGCTCACACTCTTGCCTGGACTACTTGGACTACTGCAGTAGCTCCAGACAGGTTCCTTCTCTGTGCTCTTGCAGCCTCTTTACTGTCCACCCCACAGCAAACATCCCGCAGGCTCCTGGTTTGGGTGATCATGAAGTAAAGTCCATGTTACCGCAGTCTCCGGCTCCTGTGTGACCTGTACCCACACCAGAGCGCACTGCACTTGGCCACATCTGCTCTGCTTATTGATAACTCTTCTCTGAAGCCAGCCATGTGCCTGCCTCGTCTTCCCACTCTTTCTCTTCCTCTGGAATGTTCGCTCTCCTAGATGTGTTCATGTCCCTTCTCTACTGGAATAAGATGCATAGAGCATAAAGCATACTCTTTTAAAGTTGACAGTAGTTTGAGTGTGTTAAGTTAGGCAGGCATCCAACTTCACATACAGTCTTTCATCGTCCCTCAAAGAAACCTTGAATTCCCTTTGTACTCTGTCAACTCTTTTTTTTTTTTTTTTTTTTTTTTTTTTGGTTTTTACGAGACAGGGTTTCTCTGTATTGTTTTGGAGGCTGTCAGTCCAGCCTGGCCTCGAACTCACAGAGATCTGCCTGCCTCTGCCTCCCGAGTGCTGGGATTAAAGGCATGCGCCACCACCACCCGGCACTCTGTCAACTCTTAATGCTCCCACAACTCACCAGCATGTGCTATGCCTGCTGTGGGTGTTTCGTGTAAATGGAGTCACATACGGTTTTGTCTGGCTGCTTTTACTTGGCATCATCCACATCGTGGCGTGTATTAGTGTCACCTTCCTTTTTATAGCTGGCTAATACTTCATTCTGAGGTTATACCATGTTTTTGCTTATAATTCAACAACAGAAGGTGGGCATTTAGGTTGCTTTTGCTTTTGTAAATAATATTCCATGGACATTAGTACACTTTTGTATGAACACATTGATATTTTATTTATTTTTTGAGACAGGGTCTTTCTCTATGTAGGCCTGGCAGTCCTAGAACTGGAACTCACAGAGATCTGCCTGCCTCTGCCTCCCCAGTGTTGGAATTAAAAGCGAGCACCACTGTACCCAGCTACAATGAACACATTTTTATTCTCAATTCCCTAGTCTATCTATGTAGAAGTAAAATTACTGAGCTATATAATGACTTGTTTAAGCATATCCATTCATTCCCTTACAGAGTAGGAGGGTGCCATCCCTGCTCTCCAAGCCCGCCTCTACTTATCTTCAGGCACTTAGTACAAGCTAATGTCCTCTGCTTTTACCAGCTGGCCCTTCCACTCTGAGAAATGGACCTTGCCTTGTTTGCTGACTTGGCTCCAGTCCTGTGGAGTGCCTGGCACCTTTTGAATTGGAATGTAGTGCTGTCAGCTTTCTCATTAAGCAACTTCTGATTTTTGTTTAAACCATATAATATTTGTTTTTCGAAAGTGTCTAAGACATTAACTTAAATAGGATTGATTCCCTTTTTTAAAGTTACCGATTTTTTTCTTTTTCTTTTTTTGAGACAGGGTTTCTCTGTGTAGCTTTGGAGGCTGTTCTGGAACTTGATTTATAGACCAGGCTGGCTTCGAACTCACAGAGATCCACCTGCCTCTGCCACCTGAGTGCTGGGATTAAAGGTGAGCACCACCAATGCCCAGCTAAAGTTACTGATTTTTAAATTGTATTTATGTATATATGCCTCCTTGTCTGTATGTACACCACATGCACGCAGAGACCAGAAAAGATCATCAAATGGACTGGAATGGAGTTACAGGTGGTTGTGAGCCACCAGATGTTGGTGCTGGGAACCAAGCCCAGATCCTGTGCAAGAGCTGCAGGAGCTTTTAACCAATGAGCCTGCTCTTCAGCCCTGTATTCCTTTTACATAGAAGTCACTGATGCCTGCCCCAATCCTGAGTGCTGGAATTACATATTTGCTATATCACAACCTGCTTGCTTTTTCTTTTTTTTTTTTAAACAAATAACATATAGAAATAATTTTACAATTTAATTAACATGGAGCCCTGTAGAGCTTTCTGTGTCTTTGTAAATTTCACCTACCTTTAGAGAATCCCCCCACCCTCCTCTGTGTGCTGTGCAATGTGAATTATATATGGCTGTATATACGTGTGTGTGTGTGTGTGTGTGTGTGTGTGTGTGTGTTTCTGTTTTAGAAGTTTTGGAGATTCTAATGTCATGATGAGAGAAGCCATGGCATTGCAGTTATGTCCTATTTGGATATTTGCTACTTCAAAAATTGAAATCAGTTCCTCAAAAGCTTAGAAAACAAAGTTCATCTCATAGTGGTTTTGTAAACTTGGTTGTGAGGAAGGTTTTAATTCCCACAGCCTTAGGCCTTTCAGACAGTTGAGGGCTGTGGCCATCAAGTTCTGAGGTGCTGACCAAAGCAGCCCTTCTTGGTCAGATGTGACCATGTGAGATGAGCTCAGCACTGGCAGCAACCTTGTGCCCAGCTGGGACCATGGGAGGAAAAGCCCCTAGACTGTAGGGACTAAGACACTAGACAGAGGTGGCCTGATAACCATGCCATATGTTTTTATATTTCTCCATCTTAATTACTCAGTTCTTATTTATTTTGCATGTTGTAAAGTGTCTTCCTTATGTTGTCACATGTAGCTTTTTTTTTTAAATTCTTGCCATAAAGCTGGGGCTCAAGCATCTTAGAACTCTCATGTTTGGGAGGCAAGGCCCTGTCTCCCTGTCAGTTCCTGCTTACGTAGCCACGGAGGCCCCTGTGGGATTGAGGTTGTAGGGGAAGTTCTGAAAGCTGGAGCACCCTTTGTTTTCCACTTACTGCTTTGCTGCCAGCAGATGGCACCAGGTGGCCTCTTCTTCTGGATGTCAAGTCCTACTTCGTGTCATTAATCCTTTTCTTCATCACCAGGAAAGGAAATTGCTGTATTCCTTAGTCTTACTCTATAGTGTTTATGTAATTGGGTATTTTTGTTTGAAGTTGAATTTAGACTTCTTACTTAAATTACTTGCTTTATTTGCTCTTTCTGGCTTGGGTTTCAAACTCTGACCACCCTTTTAAAAAGAAATGTGTGGCCGGGCATTGGTGGTGCACGCCTTTAATCCCAGCACTCGGGAGGCAGAGGCAGTCCGATCTCTGGGAGTTCGAGGCCAGCCTGGTCCACAGACCGAGTTCCAGGACAGCCTCCAAAACAATACAGAGAAACCCTGTCTTGGGAAAAAGAAAGAAAGAAAGAAAGAAAGAAAGAAAGAAAGAAAGAAAGAAAGAAAGAAAGAAAGAAAGAAAGAAAGAAAGAAAGAAAGAAAGAAGGAAAGAAAATGTGGTTTTTCATTTGGAGTAATTGTAGGGGAAGAATTATGATCCTGAAATAGGACTGAGTTGAAACAGGTTATTGAGAGCAAAGGAGAAAGACTTAAAGATGTCAGATAATTCTTGAAACTTGGGAGGAACCCAAAAAGTGCAAAACCCAAGATATAAAAATGGCCAAAACAGAGCATTTTAGGAATATTAAATTGGTTACTTTAATAGTTGTTTACATTACCTTCGTTTTTAACAAACAAGATACAGTTTTAAAATGTGCCAAATTGCTCTTTCCCACATCCTCATTTTCAAGTTCTGTGCCTTCAAGAAAAACTGCTTTTAGTGTGTGTTTCAGCATATAGTCCTTGATTGGATCCTTGCACATGCCAGGCAACATTGTGTGTTACCCAGTTTGAATTGTGTTCTGCGACTATCTGAAATTCTGTGTATCTGCCATAGGTTTTGTTTTGTTTATTTTTGTGCAGCTGCAAATCAGAGGGTTGCCAGGCCAGTTGTGAGCGATAACAGCAGGGGTTCAGGTCTTTGTCCAAGCTAAGGAAGAACAGGAAAGTTATTTGTCTCTGCGCCTCTTTCTTCAAGTTCGAAATGTAGGCAAGCATGACAACCCCTCGGGTTGTCCTTAGGGGTGGAAACAGTGTAGTTAGGTTACCTGACCTGTATGTATGTACAAAGAAAACTAACACTGCATACTGACTGCACTAATAGGTTTTATTTAAAAATCCCCTGCTCATTTCATTTTTTCAGACTTATTACCCTGTAGCTTTATTCCTGCTTTTTAAATTGGAGATGTTGACATTTCACTTCAGGTCTCGAATGAGCTCTCATTTCAAAAATCATGATTGCTCAAGGACCTGTGTTTACAGAGTGAGCTTTCCGGTGGGTACCTGTGGGGCACGGGCTGCTGTTTGTGGGCTGGGGAGAGGCCTGCTCAGGAGTGTTTTCCTCTGGGATGGAAGGGGCGGCCTTGGGTTCAGCCTTACTCTGTAGGCACCCGGTTACTCCGTGCGAGCATAGTCTAGGGGAGCCGGCCATTTCTCCCTACCCTTGGGGTGGGAGCTACGTGCAGCCATCTGTCCTAGGTCTCCTGCTAGGCCTGAAGTTCTCCCTGGAGACAGTGGGCAACAGGTCGGCGGCCAGTAGGCGGGACTCCGCCCGTGCCCTCCTGCCTCTTAGCCAATCAGCGGCTCTGAAGTGGGCCGCCGCTTGGCAGAGCGGTGACGTCATCGTATCCGGGAGGTTTCCGAGGGTTCGGCCAATGAGGCGCGGGTGCAGCAACAGTCTCTGTACTGTGCTTGCCCAATGATCGCAGAGCCCATGGGGGCCCGGCTGTCGGCATCAACCAATGGGAGGCAGGCAGGAGCACGAGGCGGAGTTGCGAGTCCTGTAGCCAATGGGGTGTAGGGGGCGGAGCCAGGGCCTTGTCAAGCCCGGCCAACCAGCGGGAGGAGCGGGCTTCTGGGGCGGGGCCTAGGGCACTTCCCCAATAGCGGCGGTCCGGGGGCGGGCTGTGTCGCGGGCGACCCAATGAGGGACACCGCCGCCGCGGGCCTGTCAAGGGACGGGGCCGGGGGCGGGCGGCGGCGAGTCGGGATAAACACTCGGCGGCCGCTGCTGGGATCCGGGCTCCGTGCCGTCCCAGCGCTGCCCCTTCTGGCTAGCCAGCGCGGCGGCTCCTCGGCGTTCCCGGCCCGCGACACGCGGGCAAGGAGAGGCGGCCCGCCGGGTGCAGGATGGCGACAGACGTCGGGATGAACATCCAGCTGCTGCTGGAGGCGGCCGACTACCTGGAGCGGAGGGAGAGAGGTGCACGGCGGGCTGCGGGCCGGGCGGGCGGCCGCTGGGGTGGTTGGGGCGCGGGCCGGCCGCGAGCGCCAACCCCCGGGCCCGCGCCCCAAAAGCCGAGCGCGGGGGGCGGCGAGCAGCTGGAACCTTCCACACCTGCTCCGAACCGAGGGCGTCCACGCCAGGAAAGAGCAGGCATTGTTCTCAGAATTCCGCCTGCCTGCGCCCGGCCGGTTCCCCGGACTCCGACAGACGGACGGACGCGGGGACAGGGTGTCAGATGCTCTGGGTCCATTCATTAACGGGACCCCTCGGTTTTCTAGAAGCTGAACATGGGTATGCCTCCATGTTGCCGTACAGTAGCAAGGACAGAGATGTCTTCAAACGGAGGAACAAGCCCAAGAAGAACAACACCAGTAGCAGGTAACTGTTCAATGTACCCCTTCTCTGTAGCTAATACGAAAGCTGATTGTTAGTTGACTGCGGGACTTTAGCCCTACAGATACATTGAGGGTCCGGTAATGCACAGATGGTGCTAACCAGCCTGCCTTTTTAAGTTGAGGAAACTGAAGAGAAAGTAGGAATGTTTTACATTTCATTATGACCTTTTTTTTTAATTAATCCTACTTTTCGCCCTCTGAACAAAGCAAAACTCCATCCTCCATGAGACTAACAGCAGGGTCACCACTTTTGCCTTCTTTACAAGCAACAGAGCTTCCACGTTTCCTTTCATTCAAAATTCACTATGTTATCAGTTGATTTTGCTGGTCATAGTGAAGATTTTATAAACGAGGTATCTGGCCTGACACAGGTGATAGAAATTTATATTTAACGTGTAAATTAAATACAGTAGTTTGTCTGATAACCTTTGTTTCTGATGGCTGAGCAGAGTGATTGAGCTTAGAGTCCACCTCTGTGAGAAGGTGCAAGTAACATTAGGATGTCAGCAAGTTACAGCCTTTTCCTGTTAGCCTCACAGATTACCTTCTAGTCCTCAAAAGCTGTGAGTTTCACAGCTAATGACGGAACTCACTGCCCCTGATCCACAATAACATCTCATCTCTGTTACTGTACCTATACCCTCCTCCTTGCCCTTAAAATACTAGTTGGAGCTGGGCATAATGGTCACATCTTTGATCCCAACATTCAGCAGGCAGAGGCAGGTGGATCTTTGTGAATTGGAGGCCAACCTGGTCTACACTGGGAATTCCAGATCAGCTGCATGTGAGACTACAGGATGATATAGTGAGACCCTGCATCAGAAAACAAAGACAAAATCCAACTTGTTGGTAGGAGTTCATGTTATTAGGCCCATTCAATTTAGGCCATCATTGACATTTTCATCAGCAATTTAGAATCCTAATCCCTCCCCCTCATGAATAACTTCCCACAAGCACATAGATTACCATGTAGGGCAACCTCTGTGGCTTGGTACAGACCACTAAACACTGGGAAGTTCCCACTCACACCTAAAACACCTCCACCTTGTCCTTGGTTCACCCTGTCCATAGACCGTAGTGTTGGAACCACAGACTGGGCCACAGGAAGGGTGAACCTGACCTGATAATTAATTACCTGGTGGGTTTTCCTTGTCCTCATCTAGCATAGCCTGGTGGTGATAGTCCCATGGGCACTGCAGCCTTTCAGGAGGATGCTCACACTGACATGAGTCCAACAGTGGCATCAGAAAGGCTCCGCTGCATTTCATAACAGTTTCACATAGAAGAACGTCAAAGGCTGTGTTGTTGTTTCTGTACTAGTGTATGCCACTTTTGCCTTTATTAGTACCACTCCTAAGTTAGGAGGAATTGTCCACCTTACTAGTCTTAGACTTTAATGCCTTAACACTGTTTTTCCTGCTTTATAGGAAGGTTGCTGGGGGTGTTGGGGAGTAGAAAGGCATAGTGAAGCGACTCGGTCCCAGAAGGATGATTTTAAAAGTATAGTGAGAACTTAAAATGCTAAGCCAAACACTAGAGTCCTTTTCTTGTCATTAGCCTCCTGGAAAGTGGCAACGGTTCCTCAGTTTTGGAAAAGCTGAAAACCCTTGTGTTAAGAGGCTTGCTCTCTGTTCTTAGAGATAGGGCTGTTGTAGCTGCCCGTGTGCTTCACCAACAGTGACTGGGTGTCATGCAGTCAGTGTGGGAAGACTCCCTCAGAGTCCAGGGTTAAAGTCTGAACAGGTAGTTTTATGTAGGCATGGTCTCTTCCATGGCTGTTGACGCATCCTTTGCCTGAGGAGTGAGAGCGCCATCAGAGAGTAGCTGGTGACCAGAAGTCAGCCTTATGCTGAGGGCCATGTGACCATAACCAGGGAAATACTAATTCCAGAGCTCTTTGCCAATAACATATTCATGTTCAGGTTGAAATATTATGCTCTTTGCTTGCAGAATCTGAGGAAGTTTGGATAATAAAAAATTAAGAATCAGACATTATTTCAAACTTCCTGGGAACTGAAAATGCAGTTTGTTTTAAAACTGCTTTTTGTCAAAAAATTTGATAATAATAATAATAATAACAACAACAACATTCATAGAGATTGCTAGTTGCTTTGGAATCATCCAGAGAACTAGTGGATTAGAATGACAGGATCTTTTTTCCTACTGGTTTTGTTGTTGTTGTTGTTGTTTGATTTTTCAAGACAGGGTTTCTCTTTATTGTTTTGGAGCCTCTCCTGGTACTTGCTCTGTAGACCAGTCTGGCCTCGAACTCAGAGATCTGCCTGCCTCTGACTCCCAAGTGCTGGGATTAAAGGTGTGCACCATCAGCATCTGACTCCTGCTGGTTTTTAAAATCACTTAGTTATTATTTAGAATTGAAATTAAAAGCTTTGTTTTTCTTTTTGCTTTTTTTTTTCTTTTTTTGGTTTTACGTGACAGGGTTTCTCTGTATTGTTTTAGAGGCTGTTGGTCCAACCTGGCCTCGAACTCACAGAGATCCGCCTGCCTCTGCCTCCCAAGTGCTGGGATTAAAGGCATGCGCCACCACCAGCCAGCGTTTTTGTTTGCTGTTGTTTTTAAAGAAAAACATCTCATGACAGAAGATATACCTCAGTGGTAGAGTGCTTGTCTAGTCCTGGGTTCAGTCCCCAGCACTGGGGGAAAAAAAGTAAAGACAGTCCTGTTGCCCAAACTCCTGGGTCTGACGTTCTTCCTGCCTCAGCTTTTAATTGGAACTGCACACACATGCCTCTGACTGTGGTAAGGTTTTTAGACATGTATGTCCTGAGTAAAAACAGGCTCTGCCGCTGATGTGAAACAGGAAGTCCGGGACTTGGTCACTGAACTGTTTTATAAGGAGTGGCTGTGGAGCCTAACACGAGGAGCCTCTCTGACATACTGCATTGGCTGAGTTATCTTTTTATTAGGGGTGCTGTTACAGGGAGGGATTGACCTTACGGCCGTTCCAGAGTCCTCAGGTCCTCAATGATTGCATGGAACATGGTTTGTCACAGACAGTATCCGTGCATTCTCCCGTACCTTAATTAAAATCTTGGTGTTCACCCAAGCCAAACACACTTCAGTTACATCTTTCAGATGGCCGTGCCCCTTTAAAAGGCACCATGTATTCAACAGTCTTAAGTGTCAAGTAAAGCCTGGCATTTCTAAAACTTGAGTCAAAAATTGCAAAGAGTTAATGCTTCCTGCAGAATTTGTAGATAAAGTTTGTCCTGGGGATTCAGAATGATTTTATGTAGATACAAATTGTCAGTCTGTCTGTCTGTAGCCCTTCAAAGAATGTAGAATTTATTGCTATTACCCCAGGTGCTCTTTCTCCTCCCAACCTTCAGGGACAGGGTGGGGGCGCCCCTTCTCTGTAGTTAAACAGGGAAGGCTTAACCAGCTCTAGTCATCCACTTTTATCCATTAGGGGAAAAAAAACCTCTCAGACTTTGAACTTAGAATTCCCAGTTAAAGGTAAAATGCCACGTGTTTGAAGCCACGTGATTCAAGCCACGTGTTTGCCAGACCCTGAGAAACAAATCAGACACATGGAACCAACTGAAAACTTTAAATGCCATCATTTTCTCATTTGTTTTCCTCATTAGCAGAAATTAATCTTCGGGGCCTTACTGAAGAAAAGTTTGTTTGAATCACATTTTTATTTATCTGTGTGTATGTGGATAGGTGCATGTGTGCCATGGCTGGCCTGTGAAGGTCAGAGGACAACTTTCAGCAGTTGGTTCTCTCCTACTACTTGGTGGGTCCTGGGTATCAAACCCAGGTCATCAGGGGTTGAGGAAAGCACCTTTATTTGCTGATCCTTCTCACCATTCCCTAGAAGAGAATTGTAATGCTGGACTAGAAGTTTCCTGTTTGAAGACAACCCTCTAACCCAACTCAGACATACTATCCCTAATCTATGCTGTGAGTGAACTTGGTGCCAATGATGCCATACATGGTTGAACATTTGTCATGGCTGCCATGGGGCTTTATCTCCTGGGCTCACAGCCAGAGCCAGGTCCAGATTCAGTCCATTTCCAAAGCTGGGCTTCCTCCCATTTCTGCCTGGTCGTAAAGAAGCTGCATGAGGACGTAGAAATGATCATATTGACTCTGTGGAATCCTGTTCATGAAGTCCAAGTCAAGGCCTAGTCCTCAAGGTCAGCTATAAACACTAATCATGGGTTTCTCACCCAGCATGCCTTTCATCCAAGCCTTGCCAGTCACTTTTATAGTTGCTTCCTCATTGATCCACGCTTGTTTAGTAAATTATCGGCAATTATTTTATTCCTGTGTAACACAGGGGTTAACCAAGGACAAGATAGTAAAATTATTACATCTATAGCACCATGGAGAGCAAAGATAGCCCTTTTTTTTTTCATTCCAACTCCTGCTTTAACCAAACATTGCCTTGGTGTTGAATTTGGAAACCCCTGCTTTATCTCACTGCTGTGGGGCTACAGCAGTTCTCTGGAGGTTGTGAATGAGGCATTTAATTCAAGGAGCTGAATTGGGGGGGAGTTATTTTACTGGTTAAAATTGGATTTTGTAACCAAACAGCATCATGTTTTAGTATATGCTGCCCGTAGGAGGTAGGACAGGAGGTATGACGCCACCCCCATGACTTTACAGATAACATAAAGAAGGCTTTGTAGTCTTATGCAACTCCAGGACACACTATACTGTACAGGTTTTGTAAGTGACCCTCTTCCTCCTTATAAAGGACTGCATGCCTTTTAATAAGTCACTGGAGTTCCTTGAGCTGAATTTATTTAGATTTATATTTTTGTGCATATGAGTGTTTTGTATGCATGTATGTCAGTGTGCATCATGTATGTAGCTGGTACCTACAGAGGTCAAAGAAGAGATCGATTCCCCTGGAGAACTGGAGTTACACACAGTTGTGAGCTGCCTTGTAGGTAGTAGGAACTGAACCATCTCTCTAGTCCCTTGAACTGTATTTTAGAGACTTTTAATTGTCTGACTCCCCAAGTAGACTCCTTTAGAAGAACTCAGGGCATCAACCCCTATCTACCTTCTGTTCACTAACTTTGTAGAAAAAGTTAAAATAGGGTTAGGGAGATAGCTGTATAGGTAATGTGCTTGCTGTTCAGCGACGAGGTAGCCAACATTCATATACAACTCGGGCTTGGGAGTAGACATCTCTGACCCCAGCACAGTGGGTATGGGAAAAGAGCCCTAGTCTAGCCAAAGCAGAGCTCCAGGTTCATTGAGAGCCCTTGTCTCAGAAAGGAAGATGGAGAGCAATACTAAAAAGACACCAACATTGACTGTGACTATTACACACACACACACACACACACACACACATACACACACACGTTCAGTTATGTTGGTGTTAAAGAGACTTTTTTTGTTGTTTTTTGAGAAAGGGTTTCATCATGTAAGTCTGGTTGTCCTGGAACTCACTATACAGACCAGTTTAGTCTTGAACTCACAGAGATCCACCTGCCTCTGCCTCCCAAGTGCTGGGATTAAAGGCGGGTGCCACCATGCCCAGCTTGAAGTTACTCTTTAACACAAAGATAATCGAAGGGGGAAAAGACAAGAATAATGGATATTTTGAAAGACAAAAGTAATCGTATTTTCTTGCTCCTCTTTCAGATCAACTCACAATGAGATGGAGAAGAACAGGTGAGTGGGGATCTTGAGTTTGATGCATGCATGTATTACTCATCACAGTTTTAAATATTCCCCTCCCCCCCCATTCCCAATGGTGACCCCTGAGTTAAGAGTTCACTCAGGCCCTCTAACCAGTGGTATGTCTGCTTTGCCTGTGGATGAAGGGCTTACTGCCCTCCCCTCATCCACGCACTCCTGGGAATGCCTTCAGCTGACTCCCATAGGTAGTGAGATATGCATGAGCTTGGGTATGCTTGATCATATGCCTTAATCACATGTACATGAATCTGTGCAGTGTGTGTGTACATGCATACATGCCTGCAGTGGTGAATGAAGACTCTCAATTCAGGCAGCTGTGCATATGGAAAATGGGGAGGATGATGCCTGGAGGTCTGGGTGCTGTTTGTTGTTGGAGGGTCCTGCCACTCTGTGCCTTACCTTGCCCCAAGCCCAACCTGACTGCTGCCTGCTGCTTGCTCCTAACGTAACCTCTAGTCTGCAGACTGGTGATGTTGCTTAGTAGTTCTCAGCTGTTGCACTTTAGACTTACTGGCAAAACTTTTAACTATGTTTTTAAAAATATGTTAAAGGCCTTCTATATACATACATGTTTTCTGGGGCAGAGGGCAGCTGTTTATTTCTACTTGTTCTGTAAAATAAAATTTTAATGGGAAAATTTTTAATGCATCACAGTAAAACAAACGTAGTGTTCTGTGTGTCCACCCAGCCTCCAGGTCCCTACACTTACAACTGCCCTTCTCCATGAGGTACTTAAAGCACATTTCCCATCTCCAGTAAAATCCTTTTTTGTTTGGTTGGTTTTGTTTGGTTGGCTTTTTATTTGTTTGTTCTGTTTTTCAAGACAGGGTTTCTCTGTGTAGCTCTGGCTGTCCTGGAACTTACTCTGTAGACCAGGCTGGCCTCAAACTTACAGAGATCCAACTCCCAGGTGCTGGGATTAAAAACCACCCCACCCAGCAGTAAAGACTTGTTTTAAAAAAAAAAGTAAACATAACCACAGGCCTCTACTATACTGAGAAACAATTAATACTAATACTTTGAAGAACTTTAAACAAACAGGCAATGCCAGCCCTCACGTAGATTTAATTGCTTTGGGCTGGTGCTCTGAGCCAGACTTCTTCAAAAGTGCCCCAGGTGACTCGCACGTGGAGCAACCCAGCATCCATCACTCAAAATGCAGGCTACCCTCCCAGGTGGAAAGGCCTCTCGTGCCTGTGTGAACAGGAAGATCTGCTCTGATGATGGCCCTGTTTCCGGCAAACCCTCTTGGGGACCCAGACTCTGAAAGTCAGGCCAGAATTGTATTTAAGTTTCACCCAGGAAAAGACATACCAGACCCTTACCAGACAAGCAGGAGCTGGGAAGGAAACCAAACCATCAGTCTGTTCCCTTGCAGGGTTTCAAGTGAGTGTGACGGTGTGTGGGCCAACCCACTGCTCATTGCTCCCTAGCTGTGCTCTAGGTCTGAGCTGCCTTTGTGCTTTGAGCGTTCACTCGTCAGGGGCTAGAAACTCAGTATTGTCTTCGGGTAGAAGATGGTGGCTGTGGCCTCCCTTCCTTGTCCTTAGAGACTCTCATGTCTGTATCTGCAGAATCTAGGTAAAGCAGGCTGTCTTCTGCCTCCAGTTATCCTCCTTTGAGACATTTTGTGTGGACATTTATTTGTATTATCCAGTTTCTGCCGTTTGGGCCAGGGCTCCGTGGTGGAGTGCATGCCTGGCATGCACAGCCTTGGGTTCCATCCCAGCACTGCAAAGGAAAAACAGATTGCAGCCCAGGTCTTCCCGGATTCTGTGCCTTTTTCCTCTCTGAGAGCATCACACAATGTCAGTGTGTGTGTGGGGGGGGGGGGTGCCTGTGTGTGGGGTGTGGGTATCTGAGTGTGTGTGTGTCTGTGTGTGGGGTGTGGGTGTCTGAGTGTGTGGGGGGTGTCTGTGTGTGGGGAGTGCCTGTGTGTGTCTATGGGGGGTGTGTCTGTGGGGGGGCGTGGGGGTGTGTGTGGGGTGTATGTGTCTGTGTGTGGGGGAGTGTCTGTGTGTGTCTGTGGGGGGGTGTGTCTGTGTGGGGTGTGTGTGTCTGTGGGGGGATGTGGGGGGTGTGGGGTGTGTCTGTGGGGGGTGTATCTGTGGGGGGTGTCTGTGGGGGGTGTCTGTGTGGGGGGGTTTGTCTAGGGGGATGTGGGGGGGTGTGGGGTGTGTCTGTGTGGGGGGGGTGTGTCTGTCTGTGTGTGGGGGTGTCTGTGTGTGGGGTGTGTGGGTGTGTGTGTCTGTGATTTGAAGTCAGCACTGGCTACATAGATCTCAGATTGCTTCCATGTGCCCTTCAGCTTGTGCTTTTCATTTCCACTCTCCTGCTTCCTGTTCCTTCTGGAATTAAGTCTTCCAATGTCCTAACAAGCCTTTGCCTGCTTTAGAGTAGGTGATCTGGAAGGGAAGGAAATAAGGCCTCCATCACTTAATTTAGCTCAACCTTGGTTACTGCAACCCAAGGGAAGAGGTTACAGTTTTCTGACCCTTCTCCCCCTCCCTTGTTGGTGTGCATGGCTTAAGAAATTGTTGAGTTTGGGTCTACAGCTACTCTTGTAGCTGTCTTTGATAGCTGACTCTTAAGAAAACCTCCCTCTTGGCCTCTAGTATGCTTGAGCCTCTTTTTCCCCCTTTCTTTTGAGAGGGGGTCACACATATCTCAGGCTGGCTTCATATTTACTGAATAGCCAAGGATGATCTTGAACTTCTGATCCTCCTGCTGGAGTGCTGGGATTATAGGAGTGCACTGCCACACCCAATTTACCTTGTGCTGGGCTAGAGCCCAGCAATCACCTCCTAACTGAGTTACGTTCCCCAATCCACATAGCCGTGTGTGTGTGTGTGTGTGTGTGTGTGTGTGTGTGTGTGTGTCTGTGTGTCTGTGTGTCTGTGTGTCTGTGTGTGTGCATAGAAAGATGGTTCAGTGGTCAATAGCACATGCAGGCTGCTCACAACTGTCTGTAATGCCAATTCCAGGGGATCTGACATCCATGGGTACCAAGCACACATGTAGTACACGTACATGCACACACTTAATTTTTCATCTTAAAAATATATATCACGCCGGGCGTTGGTGGCGCACGCCTTTAATCCCAGCACTCGGGAAGCAGAGGCAGGCGGATCTCTGTGAGTTCGAGGCCAGCCTGGTCTACAGAGCGAGTTCCAGGACAGCCTCCAAAGCCACAGAGAAACCCTGTCTCGAAAAACCAAAAAAAAAAAAAAATATATATATATATACATATATATATATATATCACATAGAAAGATTTTGAGGGCTCTTGATCCCCACACACACACACTTTGATATTGTAGAGTTGGATACACCTGGGTTTCCCTGGTACTTTAGACATTCAGAACACGCCTTACCCCAGGTTGGGGCTCAACAGTTAAATACCTGGCATCCATAAGAAGAAAGAAAGAAAGATGTGTAGAATGGCGACAGTGTTTGTTGAGTGCCTACAGTTCCACAGGATAAAGGATGTGCAGGAAAGACGCATCTGTCATGTAACCATCTCGTTTATCATTTACCTTCAGGAAACCAGTGTTCACTGAAGGCTCTTGCCCTGTGTGTACTTAACCTGATGCCATCCGAGGTTTTTTGTTGTTGTTTGGTTTTACAGACTTATTTAATTTATGTGTATGGGTATTTTACCTGCATGTATGTATGTGCACCACGTGTATGCCTGGGCCTGCAGAGTTCTTAAAAGGCTGTTAGATCCCCTGGAGCTGAGTTATGGACAGTTGTGCTGAGCTACTGTGTGGGTGCTGAGAACCAAATCGGGGTCCTTTCAGAAGAGCAGCCAGTGCTCCTAACCACTGAGCCTTCCCTCCAGCATCCATGGCCATGGTTCTTATGACAGTCTTTCTTTCCTGTTTTGAGACAGTGCTTCACTACTGTAGCCCAGGCAGGTCTCATCCATCCGCTGTGGATGACCAGGCAAGTATCAGGCTTGCTATGAATGACCATGTGCCCAAGATGACCTTGAAGTTAGGGATTTTCCTTCCTCAGCCTCCATGTATTGGAATTGTGGTAACCTGTTATAGAGTCCAGTTCCAAAAATTTTTAAATAAGTCCTCCAATTCCTCATCTCCCAAATTCTTAGAATTTCAAAAGTTGAAACTGCATGATTCCAATATAATTAGTCTTTAAAAGTATATGCTAAGCCAGGTGGTGGTAGCAGAGGCTTTAATCCCCACACTCAGGAGGCAGAGTCAGGTGGATCTCTGATTTTGAGACCAGTTCTAGAATAGCCAGGGTTACACAGAGAAACTCTCAAAAACAAAGTAAAACAAAAACAAAAAAAGAGTATGGGCTGCTAGATCTTTCCTTGGTGTGTTTCTTAATTTACTCAGGCCTCTTTTCTGTGTCTAAGCAAAGCTTTGTAGCATTTCCACATAAATCTTACACATTTCCGGAAGAAAAGGGGGGAAAGGGTTGTGTAATTTTGGGTGCTGTAGGTTCCTGTGGTTAACAGGTTGGTGATCTTCAGAACACAGGAATCCTTCCCGTCTCTCATTGCATGCCATGTCTGGGAACTGCCCTGGTGTAAGTGTCTTTCAGGAAGCCCTGTGGTGATGGGGCTGCTAACACAGCAACCATAGTGACGGGACAGGAATCAGGGCCACAGCAGGGGCCTGTCCAGAAGAAAACTCTGCCTTCTCCTTCAGTATGGGATGGTACAGGTGTGGACTTTGCCAGAGTTAGGGTCGTCTGACCCTGTGACTAAAGATTTTTTTTGTGTGCTCTGTGGAGATTCACAGCCTTGATCTGGACTATGATCATTATTTGTTCAATAGAAATTTAGTGATGCCTAGCCTAGCATAAGAGACTATTCCAGTAGTTTTCCTGGAGATTGTTCTGATCATTGTAGGTCTCTAGAACAGTTTCTCTAGACTTTTCAAATGGCTATATTCTTTATATCAAAAGGGTCAGACATAGTGTGCGCTGGACTCGGGCGTGGTGTGCACTGAGCCTGGGCATGCTGTACTCGGGGTCAGAGTGTGCTATACATCATGCTTCTCACTGCTTTTGCACACCCTTGACCACATTCAGATTTCATTCTAAGATATCATAATCAATTCTTGACTTAGCACATGGAGTGGAGGCAGTCAGAGGTTATCCATCCACTACAGGGATCTGTGTACAGCAGGCTGTGCTGACAGTATACCACTAGAACCTTCTCTCTAGTGCTTACCTCTGGTGCCATCTGCCTTGGGAGGCTGGAAGAAGAGGCCTTTGTTATCTGCTTCTCCAACTTCCAGCCCCCGTCTGGGTCTCTCTGACTTCATTACCAGAATTAACAGTCACAGGGTGAGAAAGAGCAAGCAGGTACTCACTAAGAGTATATTTTATATTAAAATCAAACCCCGGGAAGTAAATATTCAGAAGACACAGCTACGTAGTTCCCAGGTTAGTAAAGAGACAGTCCATGTCTTCTTGGAGCTACGGCTTGCTTGTTTCTGCACATCACGGGGTGTGTTGCTGCCTTGGTGTCTCTACAAAGATTTATCAGCGTGGTGATAAGAATTCTTCCAGGCTTCAATCACATAGTGACACACCACTACAGCAGTTGATGAAGACATCGCTGTAGAAGGAAAGGAGGAAAGTACACCTTCCCTTAATCATGGCTTGTGATCTTCACCCAGGAGTTCCCTTTAGCTCAGCAAGACTTTGTTCTCAATACAAAATCAGTTGAGATCCCTACTCACTTTCAAGAAGGCTTTGATTCCTTAGTAAGACTTGGTTCTTCTGACTCCACACAGGACTGCTTGTGCACATCTAGTGTCCCTGAAGGGCTCTGTGCACACACCAGCGTGGGAGAGCAAGCACCAAAGGCCCACCTCTCCTTTCTGGGTAGTAATCACAGACACCTTGTAATGAAAAAGCCAGCACTAAGTAAGGTCAAGTACATCGTACTCCGGGGACTCCTGTCAGCATGGACAGGCGCAATATGATCTCTGGAGTCCAGTGCTTGATGGGAAGCAGAAAACTTGGCACCTTTTTGTCTTTGGTAGTGAGCTGGCCACATAGGAAGTTCCATGTGAGTTAGTGAGAGAGTGAATGTGACCCAGTTAGAGGTAAGCAGATTATCACAGACCACTGCGGGGAGCTCTGCGGTCTTGTGGGTGAAGAGAAGGACAAAGAGGGCCCATTCAGACACTTCAGTGGGAACTGAGTTTGAAAGACTCAGAGGCAGGCACTTGCTCTTTTCCAGCATTGCCCCAGTGCCCAGGAGTCCCCTGAGAAATTCCAGGGAATAAAGGGTGGAGGAGTCCAGCATTTGCCACACAGAGGCCACCGTGAACCTGGTTAGGTGTCTGTCCCTTGACCAGCAAGTGCTCAACATGCTGTAGGGCTCATATTTACAAGTTAGGTCCTGCAAAAGAGACACTCAACCAGAAGCTTGACAGCTCCTACGTCAGGGAGCTCAGGGTGGGCACTGGAGGCTGCGGCTCCCTGTCTGCACTGTTAGTCTTCACACCGAGTCTGTCCCTCAGTATACAAGGTACCAGCATGTGAGACACCACTAGCCCTGGACCTTTCTCTTTCACTTGACTGTTTGGTTTTCCGTCCTTCGTGGCTGAGCAAAATTCCCAGCACTGTGTGGCACGTGTGTTTTACACTTAGATCTTCAGTCTGCTGGGATTTGTGTTGGTGGTGACCTGCCCACTCCCAGGCCAGGTCGTACACACTCCTCCTAGGGTCTGCAGCACTGTGCCCTTGTCGGCTAAATTCAGCTCTTTGTCTTGAGAGTCTGTCTGTTGTGCCGGCTTGCCATGTGTCTGTAACGCCAGTGCTGCTTTTAGTCATCACAGCTTTCCAATGTTCAGTATCTGTGCAGCACATTTCTCCTCGTTTTTTTTCCAAAATGCGGACAGACTCACACACGTATTCTTCTGGGCGAAGTCTAGGTTAATTTTCCAGCATTAAATGAAAATGGTTGGGATTTTGTTTTTGTGGACTTGGATTAAATTTGAGGAACACTGGCATTTTTGCTCTGAGGGGTCATCGCCAGGAATGTGTGGATTTTTCCATTCACTCAGATTTTCCTGTCCTTCAGCAATATTTGATAGTTTTCTTCCCATTAATCCTTCCCAAACTGTTTTAACTTCACTCCTAACTGTGGTACCTTTCTCGTCCTATGAGAGGGGTTTTAAGCTCTCCAGGTGTACTACGTGGTTCTCTAGCAAGGTCTTGCTTTTCGATGATCTTTGGAATAGGTTTGGAGGGAGAATGCCAGAGCCTGCAGCCTGGCAAGTGAGGCACATGCCTCCCTCCTGACCCGCGTGACACACAGGACCTCAGAGGGACCTCCTGCTACACTCGTAGCTTATAAACACTTTGTTAATCCGTGCAGTAAGCGATGCCTGCATTTCACAGTGGGGTTAGCTTGCTTTCTAGCTATTCCAAGGACAGAAGATGTCCATTTCCTTTGAGTGTTTTATCAGTTGGCCCCTGCCTGGTGAGGACCGTGAGCTTGCTGACAGTTATGAGGAACACTGCAGAACCCTGCTTGCCCGTATTTGCTCAGGGAAGTTACCTTGTGCAGAAGAGCTAGGCTTGGAAGAGTTACACCATGTCAGACCCTCTCCTCTCTAGGGAGCCTCTGTGGCCCTCTAGGGTCGACTCTTCAAACATTCTGCAGATGAGGAACTAGAGGCCTCGGAGTTAGGTGGCTTGTTCAAAGTCACCTGGGGAGTAAGTGACAAAGCAACCTCGGCTCCATACCACTAAAGTAATGTTGGCTTGTGTAGCAGTTGACTGTTGCAGGGTGGTAAAAATACTAAATCTAGGGCCTGGGGTCCTTGCCAACTGAGAGGGTTGTGGTTGATCTGTGTAGTGGACTGCTGGTTACAGGCCACTCCTGCCTGTAAGCAGCCTCAGAGCAGAGCAGAGCAGGTGAAAGCATGGCTTCTCATGCTTCTGTAACCCAAGCCTTTTGTCTGCACAGTTGGAGCACTCCTCCTGAAGAGCCACAGGGAAGCTGTCCAAGGTCATTACCTAGGTTCGAGGCAGTGTGGCTCTACTAGCAACAGGCTGGGGGGAAGGGGGCAGGAGAAGCCAGCGTTTGACACCACCTTCCCCTGCCAGGGTAGGAGCTAAGGCCACTCTTGGTAATAGAAGACCATCTAGTGGGGCAGTAAGATGACCCAGGGGGACAGGGACAGATCTGTACACTGCTAGTCTGTGTCTTTGTGTAACCACATCACAGGAGGATGGTGTGACAGACTTGTCCCCTGCAGTCTTGGCAGGCTGGTAAGCAGCTGTATATAATTAGTCTGCAAGCTTTAGAGTAAGTTAGTGCAAGCAAGTCACTAGTGATATTTTTTCATAGTTTCTTTTTAGATTTTTTTTTTAATTATGTTCCAGTCTGGGCAGTGGTGGTGCACACCTTTAATCCTACCACTGAGGAGGCAGAGGTAGGTGAATCTCTGAGTTCAATGCCAACCTGGTCTACAGAGTGAGTTTGTGTGCCTGTGTGTGAGTATATGCCTGTGAGTGCGGGTGCCTGTGGAAACTGGAGGCATCACATCTTCCACTGGTTTTGAGTTGCCTGCCATGGGAACTGAGAACCAAACCCAGGTTCTCTGAAGAACAGTGGTGCCCTTAACCACTGAACTATCTCCAGCCCTCGTGGTGTTTCCTTAGTATTGATTTTGTAGTGTGCAAGTAAATGTTTCACTGAGGCATTTTCATACAAATTCGTTGCATCTTGCTTCTGCTCATACAGCGCTTCTGATGGCATGATCTGTGTTAGAGTTTATCCACCACCAGTATCGTGCACACCGCTTTGGCTCCCCCACCCCCAGCAGTTAGCCAATGCTGTTGAGCAGGTCTCCACAGCCAGCATCCAGGCCTTTACATCAGCCAGCTCACATGTGCTCCTGGAGCTCAGAGGCCCTCAGCACACCATGATCCAGATGGGCTAGGGGCCTCAGAATGAGGTCCTAGCCACATTTCCCAGTGCTGCCCCAGGAGGCACTTCCTGTTCCCCAGCAGCTGGAGACACTCTGTCTAGCTGGCTGTGTGTGGGAATGGACACTGCCCAGGGCCAAACTCTATGTAGGTGTGATAAGTTGGACTCTGTCTTCCAGAAGCTTAAAGTCCACCAGAATGGCTGACACAGTCATTGGTGTGCATAGTGTCAATGAGTAAGCCTCAGCTAGGCTTCCCAAGGAGTCTGAGTGAAGTGTTAAGAGACAGACACCAAACCACATGGAGAGGCCCAGAACTGAGGATTCCCTGTAGGCTAGGATGGCTCAGGAAGGCACAGACACCTGAAAGCTGGCCATTTCTCATATTCGTGGAATCTGTTCCATTCTAGAGCGAAGTCCAAACCAAGGTTTCAGTGCACTGTAAACACCCAGAGTTGTAGGGCCTCCTATGCTTCTGGTCAGTCTGTGACACAGGATCTGTGTGTATGCGCTTGTGGTCCCTCCACATTAGCCTGTGTCCAGCACGCGTGAGATGGAGGGACAGTGCGCCACACATCGCCAGTGTTACCCGTGATGAACTTGTCCCATATGTGCTTCACAGCAGTGGTGGATTCCATAAGAAGAAAAACACAGGTTGAGGGCTCCCCTGGAATGTCATCCTCTGATTCAGGAGAAGCTGATGAAAGTGCCTGACACAAGCAGATGTTGTGCTCCCTCCCCAGAATTACACATGGAATCAGCCTAGAAGTCCTGAGTTCTGCTGCTTCTCGCTGGGTTTCAGTGTATTGCTGGCACCAGCCTTTGCTGGGTCTGGCAGTCATACACTTCAGAACCTGTGTAGGAGTCTCAAGTGCTGCTGTGGTTCTGTTTTCACAGGCGTGCTCATCTCCGCTTGTGCCTAGAAAAGTTAAAGGGGTTGGTGCCGCTGGGCCCCGAGTCAAGCCGACACACCACACTGAGTTTGCTGACAAAAGCCAAGCTGCACATAAAGGTAGGGGACTTGCCCTGCTCTGCTCTGCCCCTTAAGGCCTGGTGAAGGTTCCTCCACTACTGGGAGGGACAAACAAGGGTGTATCTCTAGTATGGTCTCTGAGCTCCTCCTACCTCACCTGCCTCCCCGGCGTCCAAAACCCAATTATAAAGGGTCCGCTCAGAAAGTCAGGCCCTGGTGCCTCAAGCCACTGGTATCCCCACCATAGCCGAGACCACAGTGTTTCACAGCCTGACATGTGCCCGTTTGCACGCTATCAACTGAAAGAGACTCCGCAGTCTCCTACATGCTCTGTACCCCCACACATGCTGTACCCTAAAGAGCAAACCTGCTGTAGCTCATCTGCACGCATTATTCTAAATGCCTCGGGGACTCTGGTTGAGCTGTCACCAGGTCTCTCCTGCCTCTGCAACAGCCACTGCAGCCTTGTCACATTCTGGAACCAGGGCCATCACAGGACCCCTGACTCATTGACTGACATGGTGCACATTTGTCACTGTCCTGTGTGGGTAGCTGGGTGTCTCCAGAATTGTCCTGTAGCTCCACGAGGGAACCAGGTCTTTGTAGATCGCGCATCTGGGAACCTCATGACGTCTGTCTGTGCTGACTCTCTGTGTACTGCTGAGCCACGGCCAGCATCACCATTCAGCCATAGCTTGGTTAGACAAATACCAGTTTATTAACGGTTAGCAGCCTGCATACAGGACAGCTCTGGAAGAGACCCTCAGTTGGAAGCAAAACAGCTACAATTACACACTCTCATTAATTATCTGTAGAATATGAGGAGCTGGGGGCAGATTTGTAAGAATAAGTCATCTGTGGAATTGTGCTTCCAGAAGCTTCTGCTGGACAATTCAGAGACAGGACTTTAAAAGGGCTCTCATTTCTGCTAGCAACAGAAGTTAATTGGGGTTTGGCATGACATGAGAATTTGCTTTGTCATTGGAACTATGCTGGGATAAATGTCTTTTTAAGTAGAAGTGTTTCGTAGCTCACATGCTATGTGACTTTCCAGTCCTGAGAGGTGTTCAGAGGGTTGCTGCAGATATGGAGACCAAGTCAGGGTCTGTAGTTTTGGGTTACCAAGGTTAAGGGCTATATAATTTAAACTGTCTAACTCTCCCTGCATCTGTGTAACAGGCCAGCCCCACAGTGCATGCAGAAGTTAAACAAAGCCCACAGTAACTGGCCAGCCAACTCCCAGCCTAGGAGAACAGCTTGACGAGAGACATGCCACCTGTCTCCTAGGGATATATAGCATATTTCTCTGCTGGCAGGACAGGTATAGGTTCTTTGCTGATGTACAGCACACTCCATGGACTTCAACAACCACTCTTTGACTTGCAGAAACTTGAGGATTGTGACAGAAAAGCTGTCCACCAAATAGACCAGCTTCAGCGGGAACAGCGGCACCTGAAGCGGCGGCTAGAGAAGCTGGGTGCTGAGAGGCCTCGGATGGACAGCGTGGGCTCTGTGGTGTCCTCAGAGCGCTCTGACTCAGACAGGGGTGAGCCACACCTGCTAAAGGGGCTTCAGGCAACAGAGCCAATCACAGAGCAGATAAGTCAGGGCACATAGGGGCTGTCATGGTGGTTCCGTGGATAAAGGTACCTGTCACTAAGCCCGAGTTTGGTCCCTGGGACTAATAGTGGAAGGAGAGAACCAACTCCTCCTGAAAGTTGTTCTGTAACCTCTGCTTGTGCACACACACACTAAATAAAAATGCAATAAAAGCTATAAAATAGACAAAGCTCAGGCCTTCAGGAGCCGAGCAACAGGACGGGTGTAGCCCCCTCTGCAAGAGTTAGATAGCAGTGCCCAAGAAGGAATAAGGGAAACTGAGGTGTACTGAGAGCTCTACAGCAGGTCTCACCCTGTGTCTCCCCCCTGCAGAAGAGCTGGATGTGGACGTGGACGTGGAGAGCACAGACTACCTCACAGGGGACCTGGGCTGGAGCAGCAGCGTGAGTGACTCGGATGAGCGAGGCAGCATGCAGAGCCTGGGCAGTGACGAGGGCTACTCCAGTGCCAGTGTCAAGAGAGCCAAGCTCCAGGATGGGCACAAGGCAGGTCTTGGGCTATAGGAGAGAGCCGAGGGTTCTCTCCGCCACACCTGGTTAGGTAGTGTACCAGACCTGCCCAGATGCCCTTGCACGCAAACCTCATGTACCACCTTGACCAAAATCAGCTCTGTCCATTCTGCAGAAAGCACATAGGTGTGGTTCCGAGTGCGGTCAATAGCTTCTCTGTCCATCCATGTCGACGCTGAGAGACCGTACATTCCAGTCAATCTGAAGCACCCAAGAATCCTTAGCCCTAAGCAAGTGTCACCTCTCAGTGGCCCCCTGTGTGCTGTCCTCCTGCAGCTGGCCAGGTCTGTCTTAGTTTTCCGGCTCATGATGGTACTCGCCCAGGAGAGAAGTTCAAGCTTTGTCTGGCACACAAGAAACCGAAGCAAACAAACTTCTCAAAGGGAACTCAGTTTCAGAAACCCCAAAGGAAGCTTTGAAAGCAAAACTGAAGAGCACTGAGAAGCCAGGAATACCTCCAGCAAGCCCTGCTGCGGCCCAGCCGCGATGCCACAGTGTCCCCGCTTAAGAGCGGGACTTGGCAGCTCAGGAGAACAGCATGCCCCCTGCGTGCTATTCTAGGGCCTGGCTGTGTGCTGTGTCTCAAGGCACCCCCACGCCCCAAGTTTGTTGATGCTACTTGTCTCTGGAACATTGTCCTACCTCAGAGATAGACGAGAGCTCCATTGCCCACATAACAAAAGTAATTATGCTTCTTTGTCCCCATAGCCCACTCCAACCTGTTTTCCTGTTGGACTCCCAGCAATAACTGAGTTTTGGCACTGGCTGAGCTAGTAGCCATTGTCTCTGAGAGAAAAAGGCCACATTTCTTCTCTGTGGCAAATAAACAGGAGGGATCCCCTGTCACCAAAACCCTCCTGCTGAGTTATTTTTGGACACATCTGGAAGCTTCCTTCTGGAGACTTCTAGGTCGATGGCTTAAAAGGATAATTTTTTCCCTTGTGGCATTTTTATTTAAGCTAAACCAGAGCACATGTGTATGTACATAAGACACACAAAACCTATAAATACTATTTATTCATTTTATATAAACTAATGTAATGGAATATAAATTCTTATGACTGCTTTTATAGATGTTCTAGAAACTTTGTATGTAGCTGTCTACAGAATGAGTTCATTCCCCTGACTATTTTTGCATTTGTATTTTGAGGTCTGGGTGTTTTCAGCCTCTGATGAATCTTTTTCATTGAATCCAAACCATTTGTAAAATCTGCCCTGCTCAGAGCTGAGCCTGTGTCATGGAGTAATGGAACATTCCTGAGATCCACAGGTACCACCTAAAGCCTCCGTGGCCGACTTGACAGCAGGTGGCTACAGTCACGCAGCTCTCCTCAGATGCAAACAGACATTAGCAGAGAAGTGCAGTCCTGACTATACAAAGCCACTTTGTGGAAGTCACAGGCTCCTTAATGATCCTGAAGTCCTGTTTTTGCCTTTCCCCTTGCTGGAGTGTCACCCCAATACCAGCTGAAAATTAGCCCCAAATACAGCTTGGAGCCATTCCCATTTGTAAAGCCCATTCTCCAATCTGAGCAGAGGTTCAAGGAGCTGGCCAGGTCTGTCCTTTGTCAAGAAGATACAGCTGTGCCTTGAGGTCCCCTTCAGTCCCCACCAGACAGACCCTGAGTCTGCTCACTGTGTCCAAGCCTTCAGAAAGTCAAGACCACAGGAGAAGCTTGCGGGCTGCACAGGGTGGGTAGGGAACAAAATTGTGCACATGTTTCTTTCACTTAGAAGGCATCTGAGAGATGCCCTTACTTTCTGTGTTCTAATTGTTTCACCTTTGAGTTAAACTGCTTTTTTTTCTTTTCTTTAATTATTTTTTTTTATTTTTTGTCTTTTGGTTGAAATATGAAGTGTACTGTCCCTACATAAAGCAGTAATTATTTGACCTTTGCCCTGTTTGTCTGGTCCTTGCATCTATGTGTGGCAGATCTCTGTATTTTTTAAAGCACTTGTGACAGGCTAACTGCCAAGGTCAGGCCTGGCTTTGGAAGTTCGAGACTCACTGAGCCAGTATGATAGGCAGACTTTTTTCTGACCAAAACTGTAGCTTTGGGGGGACCTGCAAGCTCAGCCCAGGGCAGCTAATTCCCACCCCAATCTTTCCTTCACTGATCACCAGCACGTCAGCCAAGAGCTAGTCTTGAGGTGGCATTTGTTTTCTTAAGAAAAATGAAAAGCCTTTCTATTAAGATGGGGGCGGGGGGACAACATTAAAACTTAGACATTGTATATGAACAGAAATGTGTCAGTGAAAGTGCTTGCATATTTTTATGTGAAAGTTACTTTTGAAACTAAAATCGAAGCTGCACTCACTGACACTGTCACAATGCAAGTGGGAAAAGGGACTCGCCACCAACTTAATTCATGCCACAAGGAAGCATTTGCATCGGCCTGGAAAGCACAGGACTGGCTTTGGGTGCACACCCAGCATCCAGCATGCTTTGACTTGGGTTTTCTTTCGCTGACCAGGTATCTCGAATTGAAGGCCAGCCGCCTCTATCCTTGGTGACTTGCTGCTGCCTTAGCAAGGCCAACAGGGTCTCAACAGGACCTAGATTCTCCCTCTTGACCGTAGGCTGGAACAACTCCTGCAGGGATAGTGAGTTGGGCAGGCCCAACCTGTAGTGGCTGCTGGAGTACTTTTATTGTTTGGTTTTAAAGTAGTGGTTTTTCATCTACCCCTTGCTGTGTTCAACAGAAGCGGAGTTTTCCCTGTCTTTCCTGTGGCCTTTCTCCCCATCTTTGATGTGGCCAAGGGCATTTGGGGTCTAAGAACACAGGAGATGGCATATGATACTCAAAACCTTCTAGCAATATCTTGAGGACTTGACGATGAGTTTTGTGGACTTTTCCCCTCTTGCCTTCTTCCCTGTCCCTTCAAGAGAGAACTTATTTTTTGAAGAACATATATAGACACATTAAGGTTTTATACCATGCTGCATTGGCAGGGATACCACTTTTATTGTGCTCTGTAATTTATCACTGAAATTGGGTTTTCTGTTTCTTTTCTGGGGTGGCTACATGGTTCTGTCTTCCTACTTTACCATCCCTGTGTGTTTTCTGTGATTTCTCTGTGTCTCTGGTATTTCAGTAGCTGCTATCGTGCTTTTTGGGAGAAGGCAACCCTGCACCCTTTGCTGGGTGCAAGCTTCTCTCGTTCTGTGTGCCCAGGGCGCTGGAGTATGCAGCATGTGTGTTTTCAAAGATCCTGGGTTGAGGTGGTATGAAATATGATTCATCAGTACTTCTCATAATTTTCTTTTACTGTGGTCTTCTAAAAGAAGAGATAATTGATTGGCACCATTACATTTGGATCATGGATGGCCAAGGAAATTGAGTGTGTATGGTATCTCAAAATCCCACAAAGAGAAATTAGGAAGGCGCTCTGTCCTGAGATCTTATCTGGATTTCTTTCTTTGAGTTCCTACTCTATCTGGGAGGACAGTGGGCCAAGCAGGCAGTCTTCATTTTAGCTTTGATCTAAAAGCCATGCTTGCCTCCACCACGGTCCCTGGAATTGGTGCTCCTGCAGTGTTGCTGAGTGACTAACTTGGGGAACCAACTTTCTAAAGGTGAACAGCCTCCACAGGAGAGCCGCAGGTGAAGAATGGGAAGCGTTTCCAGATGTTTCTTTATGTAAATATGGTGCCAATGTAAACCTGTGTTGAGACTGGGGAGAATGGTGCTCTTTGGGGGGTGGGGGCTGCAGTTAGCACTTGTGTTTTTAGAAACCATCATGATTTAGAGACTCCTTGCTGTGTGTAAACTTAATGTGTCCGTTCATTAACAAATAAATTATTTCATTATTAAAGAAACATTGGTCTTCCCGTGTCCCACTTCTCAGGCTCCATGAGAAAAGGTGAGTTGATCAAATTTCCTGTTTCTTTTTCATTTTACAACAAGTTCATTGTGGGGATCTTTGGTGATGACTTTAAAGGTATGGCTGTTCAGTTGGGCTTTCTTCTTTCAGTTTTCTTTCTGCTTTTCTCTCCACTCCCTCCCTCCCTCTTCTCCCTTTCCTAGAGAGATTCTCTCTCTGGTGTTTTGAGATGGAGTCTCATCTATATCCCAAGCTGCCCTTAAATTTGCTAAGTAGTCAAGAAATAGTGCTGGAGAGATGGTTCAGTGGTTAGGAGCACTGGCTGCTCTTCCAGAGGACCCAGGTTCAATTCCCAGCACCCACATGGTGACTCACAACCATCTATAACTCCAGTTGTAAGGCATCCAACATCCTCTTCTGGCCACAGTGGACACCAGTCATGTATGTGGTACACAAACATAAAATGCAGAGAAAACTCCTATATAAACTAAGATAATTAATTAGGAAAAGAAAACAAGAATAACCTTGGCTTCCTGATTCCCCTGTCTCAGCCTCCCAAGTGCTGGAGTGGCAGGCATGTATCACCACACCCAATTCAATGAGTCATTTGCTGATAAGAATTAATCATACTTTAGTTCGTTGGCACTGCCAGAGCATGCATGTCCCCTCCCACCTGGCATTCCTTGCCATGCTCTTTGATAGCATCTGGTGAGCCAGGCACTGTGCTAGGGCCATGACAGCCATTAAATAATAGGAAAGCACTTGGGACATGAGAGCCAGATTAGAGAGAGTGGGATTTCTGAGAGTTGTAGGCCAGCCTGATCTACATAGTGAGTTCCAGGGCATCCAGAACTACACAGACAAGCTGGGCACACACCTTTAATCCCAGCACTCGGGAGGCAGAGGCAGGCAGATCTCTGAGTTCAAGGCCAGCCTGGTCTACAGAGCAAGTTCCAGGGCAGCCTCCAAAACAAAACAGAGGAACCGTCTGGGAAAGAAAAAAAAAAAAAAAAACACTACATAGACAGACCCTGTTTCAAACAAACAAGCAAATTCCTTTATGTGCCCCATGTGCATTTGTATGCACACATGTGCCGCATGTCCTTCCACCATGTGGGTCCTGGGATTCAAACTCATGTCATCAAGCTTGGCAGCCGGCAACTTTACCTACTAAACTGTCTCACCGTCCCTGCAGTGTGCTGCTAAGGGTAATAATTCCTTTTGGTGATTTACATCCTTTGAACAGCACAGACCTCTGGGCCAGGTTCCATCACCCCTGAAGACACAGCAGAGAGCAAGTCCCCTGGAGTCCTCAGGCAACACTCCTCCAGGAAGCCTGACCTGGAGCCCCACGCCTCCTGCTGTGTCCTAGCTCACCTAGCTGCACTTGTTCAGGATCAAGAGTAAAGAAACCAAGGTCTTGGGACTGGAGAGATGGCTCAGTGGTTAAGAGCACTTCCAGAGGACCCGGGTTAAATTCCCAGCACCCACATGGTAGCTCACGACTGTAACTCCAGTTCCAAGGGATCTGACATCTTCACACCCATGCACACAAAACAAAGTTAAAGTATATGTGCATGCATGCATGTATGTATGTATATATGTATGTATGTATGTTCTCCCTGTCACTCCCTCCCTCCCTGCTTGTAATCCTAGGGATGGAACTCGGTCCACACATACTAGGCAGGCACTCCACCTCCAAGGTATACCTCCAGCCCTTAATTTATTTTCTCTTTTGAAATAAGCCTCACTCTGGCTCAGGTGGGCCAAAGTCTTCTTAGCTGCTGGGATTGACAGGGATTCAACACAACACCCAGCTTGCCCTTTAACTTCTTATTCTTAAAAACCACCCAAAAATCGAGAAATGTCTTTAGGGTTCCCTAGAAGCCTGTAGATCACAAAGGAAGGGACTTTCCCGGTATGTGTCCTTGGGAAAATGGCCTAGGATGTGAGCTCTCTCAAGTGGGACAAGCTCGGCCTGTCCCTCTAGGACCATCTCCAATCAGGTTCCAGAATGAAACCAGCACCCACTCTGTGGCCAGCAGTGCCCACAAAAGTAGGGTTCCTCAGCATCAGGCTTACTGAAACCCAGGAGAGGAAGCTCAGAACTGGAGATAACAGCGGAACAACGATCACCCCACAACGGTATGCATCACACCAAGACATACACTGCTTCCAGCTCCCAACTCTCCCTGTTCACCGAGGCCACTCTTCCAGGGGGCTGTCACCAGTCACAGCACATCCAGGGAGGTGGGGCTGCCCCCATGTTGCAGGTAAGAAGACCAAGTGGGGACAGATCTGCCCCCCACATACAGCAAGGCAATGAGTGGACCCTCCGCACTCAGGCACACACTTGTACCGCACTGCCCTCTGGGGTCTACTGTCACCAAGTCCCCCAACAGAGCACCTGTCCTCGCCAGGCCTTAACAAGGAAAGCTGTTCTGGTTCCCGTGAACAAATCCCCAGGAGCTGGTGTTGCCCTCCATCGAAAGCTTCACCTGCCCTGCCTAGATCCCACAAGGGCTGCTGGCACCAGGACCCCGGGGTGAGGGAACACATATTTATTCAAACCAATTGCTCTCAGCTTCTATGGGTCTTAGCGTCCCCAGCTGCAAGCACTACTTTGGTCTATGATTTGACATTGCCTTAACCTCCATGAGGAGGCCTCCGGAAGGCTGTCCCTTTATCCATGGCTCCAGTAGCTGAGAACCTACCTCATGCTCTCCCAGAGGGAACAGGTGTCAACCCACACTATCCACCCAGGGTTCTGCTGTACCAGGGGGCACCACTGGGGAAACTGAGGCAGACGCAGCACCAAGTGGTCCCTAGACTGTCCAATCCAAAGGGTCTGAAAGGCCAGAGCTATCACAAGAGCCAAGGCCTTGCCAGAGTTCTGGGTCAAGATGGATTTGATAGGTGTGTGGCCTCCCTGGAGCAGAGAGGAAGGTAACGACCCAGACTGAGCTGTCAGGGGTATGTCTGCTTCCAGAAACTCCAAGAAGGGACAGGAGGAAGGTGTGGTGCTATCCCAGGCTGGACAACAAAAGGAGGTCACCCCAGCCATGCACTGGGGTCATGGGGGATGGGAAGCCAATGTGTGCTGACTGGAAATCCCCTGTGGGTAAAAGCAGAATGCTGGGAAAGCTGTCACCTCACCTCCATGACTGTCCCATCTGGGTGGTGTACTGGAGTGAGCCACTCTGGCTACCCAGACAGTATAACCGGACAGGTCAAGCCAGGGAGAGACTCAGGGCCCATACCCTTAGACACAGGAGTCAGGCCCGTATGACAGTCAAGTACACAGACTTCCTGGCCCCAAGACCACCTCTGCCTTCACCCCTGGGGACCTGGGGAGAGTCTTGAGTGCTGGTCCGGTCTGTACTGTGGGGGTAGTAAAGGCCCCTTCAGACATCGGGGTTATGCAAGAGGAATAGGTTAGGCCAGGGCCTCAGCCTGGTGCTCACAGTCTGACAGCACCATGCAGGTGAGCCACAAGATCACAGCCAAGAAGAGTCTGAGTGTGGCCACACATGCCACTTCAGGTTTGGGGGTGTGCTGTTTTCACTTGAGGATAATTTAGCCTGGAGCCTCGTGCATGCTAAGCAAACACTCTACCACAAAACCACCCCAGCCCACTTGAATTTTCAGAAAAGCAATGCCAAGCCTCGGTGAGAGATAGATTGGGGGGAGAAATTATATGGTGTGTGTGGAGCGGGCTTCACATATGTCATTCTGACTCTGCTGTTTAGATGACACAGTGGGCAGGAAGTGGCTAAAGGGGAGTGGAAGAGAGGGTGACGGGGGACAGGAACGTGGACACTGGCGGAGGGGAGGGAGCAGTGTCAGGTGGGACCTCACCTCTGAGACATTGAGAAAGGATGTCTCACCCTGCCTCAGGAAATGCCTACTCAGGTAGGCTGAGTCTCCAGATGGACACTCGGCGAAGCCTCCCCACCTCACGGGTGAACACGTGCGATTAGAGGCGCTGCGGGAATGCAGGCTGTAGCCCAGTCAAGAGCAAACTGGGACAGAGTGGAACAGCATGGGGCTTGGAAGAAACAGCCATGGAAGCATGAGCTGGACAGGGCCTGAGTAAGGAGAGAAAGGCGCTTTCTCATCCCCTCGTTCAGTCCCTCAGGGTTGGGACAGACTAAGCATGAGAATGCCGTGGCCGCCTGTGAAGAAGAGGTTGTGTTTACCACAGAGCACTGAGTCAGGAAGCATCCTCTCCTTTCGCTTTGGCTGCCAGGAAGCTGAGAGCCAGATTCACACCTGGCTTTAGGAATTTTCCTATGATGTGACTGTCAGCATCCTAATTCCCCTGCTCTTTTCTCTGATCTCGACTTTTATCTTTAAAATTTCCCATTTTAATATATGTATTTTTAAGTTATCTTTATTTGTTTACTTTTTGGAGACAGAGTCTCACTATATAGTCCTGTAACTCAGTATGTAGACCAGGCTGATCTCAAACTCAGAGGTCTGCCGGTCTCTGTTTCCTGAGTGCCAGGATTAAAGGCGTGCGCCTCCACATCTGGCACAGTATGTGTAATTTCTGAAGCTGTTTTAGACAAACCCTTGTGGAAAGCAGGGATCAGGCTGTGGAAGATGGGGTTTTGTTATTTTGTTTCAATTGTGGAAGGAGGGATGGCACTCCCTCCAGCAGAGGTCTGGGGATTCGTGGGGTGGGGGTAGTTTCCAAGAGTCCAGGGGTGTAGCCAAGTTGACCAGGGGCAGAATTACTTGTCAGAAGCAAGAAAGGACAACCCATTGCCCCACCTGAGGAGCTGCATAACCCCCAGCCCCCTCCCACTTCACCCCCCCAGCACACTTCACACACCCCTCCCCCACACTTCACCCACACACACTTCAACCCCCACCCCCGCACACTCCATCCCCCGCCCCCCACCCCCACCTCTGCACACTTCACCCCCCCCCCACACACACACTTCACCCCACACACACACACACACTTCACCCCCCCAACCCTGCACTGGG